CTACCCACCCCCAGTATACCACTCCCCACCACCACCAAAGAAGCCATACTACTACTCATCACCACCACCTCCTCCCTATCACTAAAAATTAAGTGCCTTTCAACGTCAAGGTGCGTAATACTATTTTTCTCACCAAATCACGTTGGCTGTTTTCCACACACATAACATAACATCTAATTAGTGTAGAGTGAGATGTCAATTAAAATAAAAGAATTCTTTTTAACCAATTAAAATTAAATAAATTGGGTCCAAGTATACTAACTCGTTTTTTGTTGTTTTTTGCAGCAGGAAGATGAGGTGACAATATATATATGCCAAAGTCAAAATAAGGCGCTTTGTGGAAACATCTGAAGCACAGTGTGAATTTTAGTTTGGTTCTTAGCGAAATTAATTATCAATCGAGTAATTTGGTCTTTCTTTTTCATAAATTATATTACAGTTTTCCAATGTTATTGCAGTTTGTATGCCCCAAGTATTTGTCTGTAAAACAGAATCCCATGTTGTCTTTGTCTGTAATGGAGCTCAGCTCAGCCTTTTGCCCAAAGCAGAGGTTGTGCGCTTTATTTACATATAATTTAATAAATGCATTTTCAAATTTTCTCCACTCTACTCGATCTCACCTTTGATTTTTTCCCCCGAACCATTAAAGTAGTCTTTTCATAGTTAAAAAAAAAACAAATTTAATACATCATCATAAGAAAAGGTATAAAGATTAAAATAGTATATATATAGAGTTACGTTAAATTAAACCCACAAAAATGTGTTTTGATCTTAAAAAATAAAAAATATATCGAATCTATTTTTGTTTCTACTATTTATATGCACTGCATGGATCTAATTCTCACAGTCTAGAATGTGATTTAGACTTCTGAGTCATTGACATGGACATGGATGTAATATTCCAAAGAAAGGAAACCGTATGGTCCCAAACCAAAACCCAATTTATGGATAATCAAGAAATGATTTAACTAAAATATGCTTAATTTCCCAAATTAAATGGTGGTGATTATAACATTAAATAGAAGTTAAACCTATTTATAGCTATACACTCCCCAACCCCGTTTATTATGATCTTTTCACTTTTGCATAGAGTTAAGAATGTTAGGAAATTTTCCTTTAAAAAAAAAAAAAATAAATAGTGTTAGGAAAATGTTTCTTCTTTCGACATAAATGAAAGTTACTTCTTAATAATTTTTATATGGTCGATCCAATCATAAGGGGTCCACACACAATAATTGCTACATGAAGTTTGATAATTCTATGTAAAAGGTCAATATTTGATTATATATTGTAGTGTATTCAAGTATTTTTGAGAAGTTTCTCAAAGAAGGAAAAAAAAATTTTTTTGAGAAGTAGTTGTGTGTAGTTTTTTCTTTAAAAAAAATAATAAATAATAAATAAAAATTTTACTTCTGAAATTGATTTCGAAATTGTAGCCAATTTTAGAAAACAAAGCGATTGGATATAAATTAAGTTAAAATATGATTTAGTCTTTATATATTTTATCTTAGTTTCAATTTAATTCTTATATTTTTTCAATTTTTTTGTTTTCGTATCTACGCTTCAGTTAAATATTCCAAAGCAAAGAAGCATTTTTTTTACAAAATGGAGTAATTAACTTCATATACATACACATATACTTATGTTTGAAACTTAAATTCGATTTTCCTTTGAAAAAAAAAAAAACAACAAATTCGATTTTACCTCTTTTAACTTTCCATTTGCCCTCAGGTCCTTTGCTTGAAAAAACAATAATAAATAAATAAAATTTTGACAATTCAATCTATATCATCCAATTTCATCCAATCTGTTTGTGTATAACTCAACGAATAAGGTATTAAAACTTTCCAAATTTCATCGTAAATGCTACCTTCTAGGAAGAAATTCCCCCAAATCAATTTTCTTCTTTATCAAAAAAACTAATCACTAATTTTCTTTTAATTTATTACCCTTCACTTATTTCTACCTTCTTAAATTGAACACAAACTCATTTATATATCCACGTTTATATATAGAAAATATGCCACTCGACACATCATGTACATTAAATATGTTTTGAAAGAAAATATACTCTAATTAATAGATTAGGGGGAAAAACGTTAAATAAAAGCCCACTGATCTAGTTTAAATGTTTCTAAAAATCAAGTAATTCTTTTTTAAAAAAATATTTAATTAAGAAGCCCCTCTCTCAAGGTTGAGAAAGAAAGAGAATTATATTATTATAGATTGTTATCTAAGATCATTAAGATATTGTTGCATATTCCCCATGTGAGATGCGAGTAAAAGAATGTAATTATTCTCTTCACTCTATAATTACGCTTTCCCACAAACTTGTCATATATTTCAAAGTCAATTTTATATTAAATTATGTGGCAGTTTTTTACATCATTTTTCAAAGCTTTATTTTCCAAGTAATTCTTTCAATTATTTTCTCTCGAATGTTCTATATTTTATTATTATCGCACGACAACCCTATATGCTTTTGGTTAGATCTCAAAAAACATGAAGTCATTAGTTGACTAAAATAATTTTCGAATGTCTTGTTAATTAGCTGGCATGCATACTCTTGTTTTATTTACTCATTCAAATTGGTTTTGTTTTTTGTTTTAAAAAAATGGTTTTATTTTTATTCTGCAATTAAATTTTATGAGATTCATTTGAGTTGTTTATTGAAAGTGGTTAAACAATCCAATCGTATTRAAGTTGTTATCGGTGAGATTTTTTCCACCAAAATTTAGATTTTATTACAAGATTAATTAATGTCAATTTTAACTTTCTCTCTCGGGATCTTGTAATAACTTATAATATAATATTTCAAAAAAAAATTATGATACAATATTTGGTGTACTAATTAATCAATTAATGATGCATATTATTGTTCAAGAAACATGTTTACTTCACACGACAGTTCATCTATTTTTTTTTTCTCAATAGGCTATATTTCTATCTTCAATAAACTGTACAARTTTTACTATGAACAATTAAGAAACTCTCACGCAAATAGATCCAATTCATGTCACACACTTTTAAGATAATATTCTAAAGATTTTTTCCTAAGAAAATTAAATAGGATCAATTCCAGACACAAGAYAGGCTAGATTAATGAATTTAAATTTTGTTTTTATCTTTAAGAAGCCTTCAGTCACCTTTGATGGGAAAAAAGAAAATATAAAATTCTCCATTTCTTAGAATAAATGAGTGTTTTTTTTTTCACCTTTTTCTCTCCAACTTGAAAGGGAGCAATGAATGARAAAAGAAAGCATATGCATAGTGGTTCAAAATTCTTTGCCCAACTTGCTTGGATTATATGCTTAAACGTATATTTAAGAASGCGATGTCTCAATTTTATGAAAATATCGATAAAATATCAATGTGGATTAATATTTTTACAAATTATAAAAATAAATAACAAATAAGAATTTCACTATTTTGAAGAAGTTAAATTTTATTAATATTAATATTGTATTTATATGAGTTATATTTTGTTAATTCTATATTTTATCGATTCATCATATTCTATGTTAATGTCAAACTTATTGATATATGAAAATATCGATGAAAATAAAAAATCATTAGAATTCATGGTTTGTGGAATCAATATCCTTTTATAAAAGTGGACAAGAACATGAATAAAAAGATGGGCCTCTTCCCTTTTTCTCCTARAAAAGATTCCAAAGCCTTTGAATAATAAACAAATGTTATGTCAAACTGATTAAAAGACACAAATATGGTGTGAATCCATCAAAGTAAAAAAAAAATTATTGTCATGTCGGAGATGCAAAAATRGTATCACATTGCTTAAACGTAGAGAAATTAAGTTATACATATRCAAGTAAAAAACAACATTTTTATTAGTACGAAGTCTTCTAGATAACAAATTTACGCAGGTTAAAAACTCCGATGACATGTGGTACCGCAAATTTAGTCCCAAATTCACATGCATATATATATTCAAAAAATTAGCAATGGCAAATGTCCAGAAAATCCTTCACATTTGAACCAATAATTTGTCATGAGAAAGAGGACCAACTTGCAGATGGCTTCTTGTTTTCCTGTTTTTAATATGAAATTCAACTTGGCCGTATCGTTTGGATTCTCTCTTTATCAAAAGTCAGTTTAATTTATCAGTTTCCTCAATCTGCTCTCTCTCCAACCCCACACGTTTTCAAGAAAGAAAAAAAAAGGTCATATTCATGTCCTATTTATAAACTCTTTTATCTCTTGATCCCCTTTTCCCAAGTCGTCAAATTGGACATTCCTCTGTGAGGACTTTGTTGGATTTGTAAAGAGTACAAATTCACACTGGTTAGGAAATGAAAAGATTATATAGGTATATTATATATGTATATATGAGACAACATCTCTATTAATATGAGGCATTTTGGAGAAACTAAAAGTAAAGTCGTGAAAGTTATATCAAAGTAGATAATATCATACCATTGTGCAAATGTTAAATGTCATTTGTTCTAAGTGGGTTCTTAACAGACTTCTGTGCAATTTCGTACTACCAAATATGAGAATGTAATCGGAATTCTTTACAATTCGGTTGAAAAGGTTTGTGATGATATGGTTAAAACTTTCGATCGATCTCTTTACCTCACATACCTATAAAATTATGGATTATAGTTTACGCTTAGGGTTCTAATTAGGTTACTCTATTAATAATTAATATGTAGATCAGCCTCTAAAAGACTAGTAGATTATTTCTTCTTTACAATTTTTTCTCTTAAAGGGAATTGTACTTAATATTTGAATATTCCAGTAAATTTTGTTTTTTTTTCAGTKGTCTATTTCTAGCATGCAKTCAGTGTAGATTTCTAAAATCTAATATTGAATTAYATATACAAACATGCACACATTACCGTCCTTGATCACAAGATTATGTTATGKGTTGAAATATCTATATATGAATTAAATTTACCTAATCTATCSGGTTAAGTTTTTGGATTTGGTGGTGGTTTATTCATCCTTAAAACCTATCAATGGAGATAATCATCCTATCTTATATATCCATGATCATTCTTTCCCTAACCAATGTGAAATTTTTGTTTGCACTTCCTATACAAACCCAACAGTAGAGATTTTAAATATTGTATGGGAATGTTAATATATATATAAAACGGAATGTTAAAATAGTTAGTTTTTGAAAAATCGTAGAATTTAATAAATTCATGGAAAAACATATAAATTAATAAATAAGCATTTCGAAATTTTGTAAAAATTCTTATTTACTAATATAATTCCCACATTAGTGAGGTTTGGTTGACATTTTTACATTATAATAGAAATATTGATTCACCCTAAGTTAACATTAAATTTATTGTATTTTAAAAAAAACATTAAATTATTGATATATGCATAAATGTCTAGGATAGAAATATGGTAGAAAATTTATTCCGATATATATATTTATATATATATAAATAACGAGCCACGTGAAATTTTATTAATTAAGTTAAAAATACTCTTGATGAAATAAATAGACAACCTCTTGCCTCTTATCAAAGGTTTAATTCCTTTCATTTACTTAGCACATAATAACTTAACCTAAAAGGGCTTGTTTTGTAGAAAATTGATCTATTAAACTATTGGTATACTGAATCAAATAAATTAATCGATTTCTTTTAGTACAATTGTTTCATTGTTTACATCCTAGACAGTTCAACTTAACTTAAAAAAAAAAAGATTCACCTTTGAGTTTATGGTAAGGCCAAAAGAAAAAAAAAGTGCCTCTTTGTAGCTTTTTGGGCGTGGTGAACTCTAATTTAATGTACTAAAAAAAAAAGAGAAAAGGAACAACAATTAAGTACTTTCTTTGCATGACACCTTTTAAATCCAAAAATAACATCTTAACATAACCTTTCAAATTAAATTTGCATTAACTTTAGATTAGCTCATCTGATTTTGATCATCTCTAGTCAGAAACTATACCCCAGATGCACACAGAACCGAGGAACCAACAGTTAATTTAGATCAAAACTTTCTGCTTAGGTTCCTCTACAAAACTTATTATATGAAATATTTCTACCAATATCACCTATATTTCCACAATTGTCATTAAAACAATTTTCAATCTCTTCAAAACGTAGACCTTGCACAACAAGCTGCAAAAGTTTGATTCACTAATACAGCAAAATCTGATTGGAATTCACCAACAATAATTAACAATAATTTGAAGTACAAAAATATGTAATATCTACTATTGAAGTGAAGCAATGATTGGCCATTCCAATCATAAGATGCTATCTTATGTTTTTATTTGTGCTATTCTTTGCCATTTGAGTTCATTAGTAAGTGGCAACTTAGATATAAGAAATAAATAAAGGACCTTGCAAAAAAACTTCAAAAGTCGCAGCTTCTTTTGCAAGCTCCTCTTTCTGCATTTTTTTCCTTGACCCCCATTGCTTCAGAGGGAAGAATGCCAGCCAAATTTGGAAACCATAGTCTACTTTTTCTTGCTGTCCCTTTCAATAAAGATACTTTCTTTTCCACTAAACAATAGTTTGCCCAAATTGATACACCATTTTCTAAAAGAAAATCTAAATTGAAGTCACTTACAAGACAAATGCATTCTGAAAAAGAAATCAGAAAGAATTCGATCACCTAACTACTAAGAATTATAAAGCTTTAAGCAAAGGTCACAGAAGGCTGCCAATTTTCTATAATGTAGGGCCTCTAAAGAAATGGGGGAGGAGAAGCATTATGATGTGTTTATGGAATAAAGCACAAATCTAGGCCTAAACAAGGGGGGGAAGAAAAGAAACCAAAACCAGGGCCTTTGGACAACTTGGAAAGGTTAACAACAGCTCATTTTACTATATTTGCTGAGAATATACCCGTGGCTGAGTATTTTTGTAATGAGAACATGCTATTTTTCGTTTTCTTTTCTCTTTTTGTGCTGAGCAGCCTCTATACTTCTCTCTCTCTCTCTCTCTCTCTCTCTCTCTCTCTCTCTCAGATGTACAGTATCTGTATAACTATATGAAGAACAGAAAATGGAAAACAAAATAAATATTCTCACGCAAAATACATGGTAAAGCCGAGTTGATATCTGCACTTCTACGAGTAGATCAGCTGCCATTAACTGCTGCACAAATTTCCTCATATTTTGTACACATCTAAGCACATGGGATTCATTAAGTTAGAAGCAGTGGCATATGCTGTGCATATTATGCATATGAGATTGTAAAGACAGAGGGAGGTCTAAGTAAACTACCTGAACTTCTTCAAGGAGATTCTCAAGTTCAACTTTTATGTCAGTAAATGGAGGCCGGGTTAAAGGATCTGCATCCCAACATCTTTGCATCAAATCCAACAATTTAGGGTGCATATTCTTGGGAAGATCTGGACGTAGTCCCTGAAAACAGATTATAAATTCTAACCCTTGAATACCATATTCTATTATTAAGTCCCCGAGGGGACATTAGGGAAGCTAAGTCGAACCTATGTTTTAGAGAGATGTTTTCAAAACTAGGTTTAATTGGAGAAATCGACAAAACTTTGAACAATAGTCCACTATTCAAGCTCTCCCCACGTATGTTTCTTAAACCTGGGCTTCCTAAACATGCACCCCAAATACATTATTACTAAACTCTCTACTTAAACCCAGACATACTAAACTCAGTTTTAAGATGTAGAATCCACGCCCAAATGCCCCCGGGGAAACCATGCAAGGCATTGGACTCCTTGATACCAAGAACTTGAGGCATCTGAAAGAGAGTTAAATGAACAGCAATCAGATAGAGGTAACAGTTTCCAATTTACCCTCAACCTGGAGCATTCTTCAAAACTTCCTCGATTCATTCTATTAATCTGAACGTTCTTGTAAATTTATTAGCAACCCCTTTTTGTCCTCTGATTGCCCTCATGGCCTCATCTTTGTTTAACAAACTGTAAATTCAATATTCTTTTTAGTTTATTACATTTCTGTTCCCCAATCATGTTTCATAAACATGAGTTTATTATCAAACTGCCATATGTACAACAGCCACGCCAAGTTCATTTATAATTGGTCTTATAGGTGCTAAAGATGAACAGAAAGAGAATTGGCCATCTCATACGTTTTTAATTAGGCACCAAAAATTACGACATACACAAACCTGTCTTACTCCAAGGGCAGCTTGTAGTGGTGTCATGGAATCATAAGGAACCTGAAATGCCAAAAGCTTGGATGAACAGAAGAATCACAAACACATAGTAATCATCTTGTAACTGATAGGTGATCAACAAAATAATGACAAAGATATGTAATCATCTTACTAACTGCCCTAAAATACAACAAGAAAACAAAAACAGAGGAAACGTAGCATTGAAGTCGACTTGAGATGTACCTTTGCTGTCACTAGTTCCCATAGAACAATCGCAAAACTGAAAATGTCTGCTTTCTGATCATATGGCAGATGATTTATTACCTTGAGGTGAAAGATAAAATCATCGCAAAAAGATTGAAGTCAAATTGAAATGCTATCAATACTATAAAATACAATTTATACATTCAGAAATTAAGCAAGTCAGCTTGGTAATTTGTCGATCTCATTAGTTCTAATATGAGTAAACCACAAAAAAAGAAAAAAAAAACCGTAAACGATAAATAACAATTGAAACTCCATGTATCATCTACATGGAAATATATTTTTTTTTTTAGAAGTCCAAATATATATACATATACGTAGAGGTAGAAAGAACCCYCCTTTTACAAGAAAATAGCTATTGCAAGAGGCAACCTACATGGCATTCCGCCAACAAAAATCAGTCTGGGGGACGTTTTCAAATCCCCTAATGAGCTCAATTACAAGAGAGTATTTCCAGTTAATAGCACAGTTCTGAGAGATGAAAGATTTATTAAAAGAATATATGATAGAAATAGATTTATCACCTCAGGCGCCATCCACCTGTATGTTCCAGTTTCTGCTGTCATTACTCCTTCTTGGCTCTGGAAACGCGCAACTCCAAAATCTGCCACCTTTACAACCTTGAACACAAAAAGAGAATGTGCCTTTTACTCGTGAGAAGATTGAAATCTTTTTCAGTATATGCTCACAAAAGCACAGCACAAGGTTACCCACCAGCATGTATCCTTGGCCTCCATTTATTCTTCATAAGTTAAATGAAATCAAAGGCAATCCTCAGAGGAGGCTCACTTCCAAATAAAATTTACAATTAAAAGAAAACATTATGCAAGTGCAAGCTAGTGAAACAGTTTCCTATTTACAGTTCTTGGATGTTGGCAAGACCATTAACATGATAATATACAAATGTTTAATGCAGGAAACATACAAGCCAAATCCTGCTTCAAATATTCGCACAATATTGACAACTTTGAAGTAACAATAAATTTGTTCAACCACTTCAACAGTTCAAGAAATGATCAAAACACACAGAGGATCCGAGCAATATTAATCAATAATACAGAAGACCACCATGTCAAGGTCCAAAACGGCAACTCAATAAAATAACAGCATAACCATASAACAATATCTGTCTAAAATCGTACTCTTTTGTATTGTGCCCTTTTACTAGAGACTGACTGCTCAATGATTTTTTCATCAGATGACTTGGCCAATTCCTAATCCAAAGTAACATTTATACATGAAGACAACACTTGATATATTTACTTTTTCAGGCAGTTKGAGTCAACAGTGACTGATAATTATAGACGGTAGAGTGAAATAGTTCTGACAATAACAAAAGTGACTCTATTAGAGCTTATAGTTATATCTCGTTTGCATAGCTATTTTAGTTTGGTTGCCACTGTTTCTTCCCTTTTCCCGTGGGTGGGAATGACTTCTTCCGAACACCAAAAGAACTTTCAAATATATTTTCATTCCTGTTATGTTCCAACACCTAATACAAACAAAACTTGTTTGATATCAAAACACTCATTTAGGATATCCATACTACTACACTTCAGAAGAAAACAAAGCCAAGTTCCAGTGAGAATAGTGTTCTAGTCTTACATGTTGAGTATTCATTAGCAAATTTGCCGTCTTCAAGTCTCTATGAATAATGTTATTTAGATGTAAGTATTCCATTCCTTCACAAACATCAATAGCAAACTTCAGCAGTTGTGAGAGCTTTAACACACAATGGTTCTTGTGCAAGTAATCGTAAAGACTCCCTCCTGGCATATACTCTGCAAGAAACAACAAATTCAAAAATTGTATTTAAGCAACACAGATAAAGCAGAAATTCAATTGAACAGAAGAAAAGTAAATTCAAGAACCACCTTTCAATCCAAAATGCATGGCAAATTAGACATTTTAAGGGTAAAGTATTAATACAGATAAAGATAAAGAAGTTGCAATTATAGTTCCCTACTTTCCTATTGTTGCAAAAATATYTGCCCCTCATYTTCTTTGCTTCAGGACTCCAAATTGACTTATCAACTTAAAAGTACTATAATATCCCCCGGAGAGTATGACAATTGCAAATTCAGACCTCTTTTAGCTTCTTGGGCTTTGCCTTTTTTGTATGTTCAATTTATCAACAAAACCATTGGTTACCTAAAATGTTATTTCTAGGCTTATGTCAAACCTAAAACAATCAATGAAAATTTTTATTTCCTATATAAAAGAGAGAAAATAGTCACAAAACCAATTCTTTTATTTATTTTTTTCCTTTTTGAARGATAATGGAACCTTAGCTTATTCTGTCTAATTCTCTATCATACTTCCTTCCTCTCTAGTACCCCTATTTTCTCTGCAGCATCATCTCATCAAGTATTGCATGACGAAGACTTAGTAGTCTTATCTAACGGCCAAAACTAACGTCCACCCAATTCCAGACAGCTAGCTTAGTCTATAGTGACAGTGACTTTTTGTGTGACAAAGTTGACCACCCACAAAACCTAGCACTAGAATATGAAGTCCGGGAGAGCTTTGCTTGACCATCTATCTTCTTATTGCTGCAGAATACCTCTTTTTTGCATGCAACTCTTGTCAGAAGCAGGCAAACATCTATCAAGATAAACATGTAGACTACAGAAGAAGATCTACAGGAAGCTAACCAAAAATTGATAATGGAAAAAGAAAGATTCAAAGGAGAGAAAGAAATAAGGAGCACGAGAGCAGAGATTTCTATACCTGTTACAATACACAAATGTGGAGACTTTGTACAAGCACCTATAAAACGAACTACATTTTTATGCTGGACCTTCCTGCATTTCAGATTAATTAAGATCCCTTCACAAAGGATGTATGGCTGTAGATACACCTATAACAAATTGATTAAAAAACATAACTTTGGGAATTATCCCTTCATAAATGTTAAGATCAAAAGAAACCATCATCAATTGGCAGGGGAGAACATCAAAACAGTCCAAGGAATTTGAAGATTTTGAATTTGCAACTACTCAACGTCGATTTGCCAGAAGATCCTCTCATTATTATTCTATTACTATGCTTGAATGCAAAGAATTTAACGAACTTCATATTTTGCTATTTCACTTTCAGAGTGCAAGTTTATTTCTGATTCATTAATTGAACAGCCTTAATTTCGAAGAACTCCTTCTCAGTTGAAGGCTCCCTTTATGTAAAATAATCCAAACACGATCTCCTCTGAAAACAAGACAGAAAAATATTTCATAATATCTACCAGACAGATCATTTTGCAAGAAATGTGCATCTCCAAACAAGTAAACTTTCAAGCTGAATGTGCACATGTTCTGCATGGTTTAACTAAATAAACTATCAAGATATAGGAGTTTGAAAGAAAAGCTTAGCCATAAATAAGCAATAAAAATGACTACCATCTGTACACAGAGTTCTCTTGCAGAAATTAACGGTGATTCTTTAACTTACAGAACAATAAATATTGAAAGACAAATATCAATATTTTYCATTTTTCTGTGCGTATTCCCTAAGTTCATACCTCAATCTCAGATTTAACTTTTCAAAAAATATATGTRTATATATGGCATATTAAAATTACCTGAGAATTTCCACTTCTTGATTGAATTCATCCTCTAAATCATCATTTAAATCTTCAGATCTTAATATCTTGACAGCTACATCTTGACCAAGATATAATCCATGATACCTGCAAATGAGTAAAGAAAAATGAGTCGTATGAGTAATTGTTATATTGAAAAAGGGCCTTCAACAAATCCAAGGACAAAGAAATAAATATCTCATATTGTGATATGAAATTGCTATGAATGGCAAAGATTTTATTGCTCAAATTTTGCAAAAATATGAAACTTCAACTTACAAATCACGACAAGACCCAACTCTAACTCAGATGCAATTTTTATAAGCTCCTAATAAGGGAACCATGGTTCTAGACGTAGTCAAGGAGAAGTGTGTTTTTTGTTCAAACTTACAAGTCACCACAAGATCCAGATGCGATTCTTTCACCTATCTTCAGTAACCGTCTATCTATTTCCCAATCTGCTGATTTTGCTTGGGCGTCTAATGCTTTCTTGACTGCTGAATGAGAATGTGAAGAACCGGACCATGACCCCTATACCATGGGAAAAGTTGCATTATTTACTTCACATTCACTCTYTTGGAAAAGGGAAAAAGGTGGAAATGAGATTTTTTAACAATATTCTACCACAGAACACTAAAATTTGCATATAACAAAAAGCCAAAAATAACAATAATTAGTTAAAGGATGTACAATAACTTATTGGTGCATTCATATTATGCTGCAAAAATAGCTAGGAACCATTATTCATTAGATAATAACCATTTCAATCAATATCTTTTATTGAGGATCGTGTCAAGAAGACACAATTTACCTCATATCTAGCAACTGCTTTTTCCATAGCTTCGTACAAACCATCAGTTTCCTGGTCACAAGATGGCAAAGTCAGCAACAATGGACTCGGCACAGATCCTGTCATAAAGGGTATATAATACCAGTCCTCCTTAAAATATTAGAAGGTAGCTCCTGGGATAAACCATAATTTTTTAAGTGACCCATCTGACACAATTTGCCATTTAAATTTCTTAGATACAGAAGAAAAATGTGGAGAATCTATGTCAAACATCATATTCAATAATCTCATACACATTTTAGTGTCTGGATTTAAAATAGACATGTTGAAGGACTAAAGGGCCAGTAGAGCACTAGCACTCTAATTCCAACATTTGAATGTGAATTTCTTTTGGGGTGGTTGTTGCAAACATGCAACTTAAAAGGTCAACTAAATAACAGTCTAAGAACCCGGAGTAACTCTACAGTTCATCAAACTAAAAGACCCTTTTTCTTAAGGCCAGAGAGTGACATGACAGGAACAAGCAATAACAAAGAATATAAGGCAGACACTGAGCCAAATAGCAAAAGACATATTAGAGCTCCTAATGATTGCACAACAGATTGTATATCATCATACTTTACCAGTATTTAATAGACAAGGATTCGACAATAAGGCAAAAAAAATCCAACAAGAAAATAAGATACAAAAAGAGGATGTACAAAGACCAAAACGATATACATCTAGCATATATCACGATACTGTACCTCAACAGGCCATCCATCCACCACAAATACATCCAAGGAGTAACCATCAGACGTTGAAAACACATGTGCTTCTCGGATGTTAAGTCCTATATCAGAAAGCAAAGCAGAAAGCTACGGGGAAAAAATGACAACTTGTTAGAAAAACCAGTGTAAATTCTACCACATTTAATGACTGACTGACATGAACAAAATGACAAGGGCAGACGTTGAATTATTCTCAACACCTAGTATCAGCAGGTAGGTAAATCGCCACAAGATAGATAGTCATTTACTGTCCATCTCCGGCAGAAGTTTCTAGCTTTCTTTAGCCCTCAAATTGTGTACCCCTAATTTTCAAGATCTATTCCTCATTAATTGGTGTTTTCTCTATTAGTCAGAAGAACTCTGTGTTTGTGGTCTAATGTTGTCAGGGCCACTTTTTTTAGGAATTTCAATTATACAGGAATGGGAACTTTACAGCAAAGTAAGAAAGGGTACCATGAAATTTGGGTCACTATATTATTGTTGCTTCTTAACGAGTGCAGCTTCAACTGCTTTTTATAACTATTCCCCTTCTTACTATATAGCCCTCAGTTGGACATATGGAGTCCCTCTAGTATATTTCATGCTTCCATTGAAAAGGTTTCTTACTGTAAATAAATAAACTACTTTTCCTATGGGAAACAAATATTTCATTGAGCATACGAAATATAACAATAAGGGAAGGAAAGCCATACCCCCAGCCAAGAAGATTAGAAAAGATTCTTCCATTTGCCTAAAAGATCATTTAAGACTATAGTTGCTAGAAAGAGAGTAGCTTACACCAAGATAATGCAGCCCTAAAACTGATGTTTGAAAAAAATATCAAAAGGCATCGGTGAACTAGCCATTTCAATGGCAATATTCTTTTTCTGTAGGAATACAATTAAGAGTTCTGTTATCCCTATCAAGCCATCTTCCAAAGTTGTGCCAAGCTAGTRAGAAATTCTGAACACTACATAAGTTCTACTACCAGAATTTGAATAATTCCAGCCTGGTTTATGTAAGTTCCTTTAGTGCAGGAGTATAAGAACAAGACATCAATGAGCACCCCTGGCTAAGAAACATTGGGTCGCCAACCAATTCCAATACAAGATTCAATAACTAAAAATAAAAAATAAAACCCACAATCCAGGTTACCTGGCTAAGAAGCTTTGGCTTGTCAACAGTTGAAAATATCACTTCATGTATTGGAACATGTGAAATACCCTGCCTGCATTGTGCTTTTAGAAAACGTCTTAATATCTAATCATAGATGGCCGCTAATAGTGTAATAACTACATGTCAAACACGTTAACCCTGAAGAGAACTACAAAAATTTGCAACATGATGAACCCACAGAAATACTGAATACAAACATGCTTGTGATAAATCATAAATTCCTCTGGCATCATTTAAATTATACCTTTCGGAAAAATTTTCCATATGATATCTCCCATCTGTGGCCTTTGAGTTCTTTTTAACATCCAAATTCAAGTCCTCAAGCTTGGAACAAGGCTCGAAGTCAATTATATTGCCTCTAGTTCTACCCAATGATTAAGAAATCAATTATTTAAGGAAAGGAAATCATGTGATTAGAGAGAGAGCAGCAGGGCAGCGAGGCGAGAGACAATTGGCTTAATAATGAAAATGTAATAAGTCCAAGAATCACCTCTTGTGTGACAGTGGAAATCTTCTATCAGCTGCTTCATTAGATGAACCACTTATAAGAGTACTGTCAAGGTTGTGAAGGTTGTGAAGGTTGTGATCATCATTGCCATCTGATTTAGTACTTATGCGCTACAAAATCAACAAGAAAAATGTAGAACAATAAGACCGCCGACCGCAGCCACTAAAACAAAGCTGAAACAAATAACATACAAACTTTATTTAAATAAAAATAAGAGTATATTGACAAGGAAAGATTGTTACTAGTTACAAGGGTATAAAGAATCATTATGAAAAATTGCATAATAATTGCGTATATAAATACAATGGGACAACGGAAGAACCAAATCCAAAGACTTCACAAAACATTTTGGACCACCAAGAAGGACAAATCCAACTATCGTCAATATCCTCATTGATTTTCAAAAATTCTCTCATTCTGCTTGAACCAAATGGCTTAACATAACGCAAATATCTTTTTTGACCTTGTCCCAAAATTATAGAAAAAATATCTTTGTTAGATCTATTTTACCACATGGACAACCAGAAAAAATGGAAAACAAAAAAAACAGAAAAAAAGGCTATTGAAAGGAAACAGTAATTTCGTATCTTAAGAAATAGGAATCATTAATGGATCCATGAACCACTAACTAATAGAGCCGCTTAGATCAATCAACATAGGAAAGAGCATATATCATTGTTAAAGATATAATATATCTCAATTGCTTTCGTACTACCATCCGACTTTCTTCTGTGCAACCATATTGCTAGAATATCCACATAACCACATTCTAAATTCATTTGTATTGGCCATTTGAGAAGATGCAGGGGCTGGGGAGGATTATATTTAACAAGCAGAATAGCATTCCTACCCTCCAGGTGCCACCAATGGCAATTTGATGTGATCCACAGCAACGCGCCGTCCTCAGTTATTTTTTCTCTGATATTAGGAAGCCCTACCTTCAGCAGTTGTAGTTATGACCTCACATACGGTAATTCGAATTTGTCTCCCTCTCTAATTAGTCATCCATAGGAAACTGATAATATCTCTCTTTCTGCGAGCCATTTTTCTAATTTTTGCCTCAGGTTATATGTTTTCCACCATATGTTTGGCATAATCACACTATGAACAAATCTATGAGAATATTCAGAACCAAGCAACATTGCCCATTAGTTTCATCTACAAATTAAACAAACCAAATGGAAAAAATACCTCCAGAAAACGAATGTGGTAAACAGGGCACTTCTCTGGATCCTTTGCTAGGGAAAGAAGCTTTTGATGTAACAAAACATCTTCCACCTTCTCCATGTTAACATCAAGTCCATAACTGAAACAGAATAATTATCAAAAACCAAGTTAATAATCTAAGAAGAATGAAGAAGATCATCCCTACCCACAACTACCATATAGATATGCAACTTTAACATGTTATRAGACTTAACATATTCACAAGCCATTATGAATTCGACCTTTTTTCTTCCTATGAGTAACACAATCTAAGATGGATACACAAAACAGGGGATGAAGATAAGGCATCAGCCAAGCCCAAGCTATTGGATTGTTATTTAAAATAAGAACTTCCAGTAGTATTTGATAAGATTAGTCAATTTCTTGTCCAAAGAAGTCTGCGATGACTCAATAAAATATGCTAAATCCTATGGTTCTACCAAGTCCTGATCCTTACGTTCCAAATTTCTGTTCCCTATGCCTCCAATCAAAATACTTGATAGTTTCAATTCTCATCTAAATTTCAGTGACTTACCCAGAAACACATCATTTTCTAGAGAAAGTTGCATTGATGAATTTGGAACGTATTAGTTACAGTGAGGAAAAAAATGTTGAAATGTGAAAGACTGTTTTTTAGAACAAGGCAATAATTTCTGGAAAACAAGTAAAAGTAAATTTCCTATTGAACTTCATTTCATATGCCTCCCCTAACTCCGAGTGGGATCAGAGAGAATAATTAGTTTGATAATAATATGAGAGAAACTCAGAAATAATAGAAGTGTATCATTGTGAAAGAATAAAAAATAATACAAGTGCRATATATGACCCTTCGTCACTGACTCACTATGAATAGAGACCTTTTTCAGACTACAGAACTATACATGTCCATTGTATGAGTAGGATGGTCGAACCGAGGGCAGCCACCTATTTACCTAATATTCTACCACGGCCAAAGCAAGAGTTTAATGAACCTCACAAAGATTGTTTTGGGTTACTCCTTCCTCTAAAAGTGAGTTTTTGATTTAGCCTAGTAGCTAAGTGGCTCGTTACTCGTTAGTGTTCGTCTATCTAGGTTGCAGGGTGGGCCTGAGTTCTTTGTATTCAAGTCAAGAAACAAAACCCTTTAGAATTGAATTGTCACATTGCCATTGAAAAGCTAGGAAATAAGAGCACTATCTCACCCATATATGAAAATAAAACCCCTTAAGTAAGTATGCGACTCTAAATGAGGGCCTCGTTTATACATTATGTATCAGGACCATGAATGACTACTACACGTTAAAAAAGACTCATTGGTTCATCAAACTAAACGTACTGTGTTGCTATGAACCCTTGTTACGTAGTTCTAAATTCTAATGTCTGCAATACAACTTTTAGCATCTCAAAAAATTAAGTGCCTCGGCTCCAAGGAACAAACATTCATGTAAAATAACACAATTTTTCTTGACTTTGACATAAATGGTTTTCTTTTATTGTCACTATAAATCTGTTCTACAGCCAGCAGTTGAGGTATATCTCGAGATTATTGCTTCCATCTAGCATATTAACCTTTAATCAAATCACACATGGAGTACAAAGGATGGAAATTTTGAAACATGAACTCTTGCTTCCAACCATATCATGACTACGCCATTGTCCCTTCTCGTGAATATGATTTAAACAGTAAGTTAAGCCGGTAAGATCAACCTTACTCCAAATAAGTGAAGTCAATCTGAAATGTTACCAATAACTGTCGCTTAATAATAATTCTGTTTTTAAAGATTAAGTCAACAACCATTTTCTTTCTGAACACATTTTTAAAATCAAACCTAAATTTTAAAAGCTAAGAAAAGTAGTTAAAAAAAGAAAAAAAGTTGTTCTTTGTTTTAAAACTTGAAAAATACTTCGAACCAAAGCTTTTAGAAACAAAAATATATATAGAAAACCAACTAAAACTTTAAAAACAAAAAAYAAAAATAAATAAATAAATCATTGTCACGCGAACTTTCCCAGCATCGCAAAATATGAACGGATTAAGCAGAGGCGGTGAGATTATGACAGACACGTTATAGAAAGGAAAATTCCCCAGAAAAGTGAATCCACTCAAATCAGTACTCGGCTTCCTAATACAGTTAGACAAAAAGGAAAACAGTACTACATCCACTTGAAATTCCCAGCAAAAAGATTGAAACGAAAATAAAGCAAAGATGGAAATGCATTTATATCCACTCTATTAAAGCGGCTCAAAATTAAAAAAAAAATATGAAGGTACTAAAAAAAGGGAAAACACACAGAAAAATAGCAAAGCTAGTGATGAAAAGCTAATATAAAAAACGAATTCGCGATTAAAGATATGGAAATAAGGTACCTAGGAGGCAAGCGATTGAAGTGGGCATCCAAATTCTCGCGAAATTCGGGATTAGAAACGGCCTCCTCGTGTCCACTTTCCACCAACCGAGTATAAACATCGTTCCGAACATCGTGGACAGCACAGAAGGCTCCGAAGGTTCTAGGCGGCGAAGAACTCTCTCCAACACCCTCAACGAAATCCATGTCCGCCATGGCGTCAAGAGAGACGAGGAGACGCCATACCAGAGGAGAAATTGGAGGAGAAAGTAAGGGAGAAAGAGGCAGAGACTCAGTAGATTGGGAATATTTATTGATCAGTAGAGAGAGAGGATCTTTGACTGTTGATAGAATCTTGAGGAAGAAGATGGAGTGATTGGGTATTCCGAGTGAAAATGGAGGGCAATTTCGTCCACTGGATTTCTATTTCAGGCAACCAAATATCGAATTCGGAAGCCGGTCCGGTCATGGGGCCGGGCAGCGATTTTAACAAAAAATATATATAAATTCTTTTGGATAAGTTAAATTTAATTATTTTAAAAATATTGTAGAGGAAGTTGGGGAATGGATAGGGGTTTGTAAAAGGTTGACGTGTAAAAAAGGAGAATGTTGTTGTGAATTTACAATACTGCCCTTCCAATTTCCTCTTATTTACGAGATTAAATAAAGTCCAACGCGGTTCTATAATCTAAAGCATGTTGCCGCACGTCATATTTCGTCTAACAAACAGTTGCAAAATCCGGAGCTGTAACATTTTTTACTGCGCTGTCATTTCTTTGTTGTAAAAAGTAATTTAACACAGGTTAAGTCTTACTTCTGCAAGATTAAAGTTGGATAAAATTACAAATTTAGTCTATTTCTATCTATTTAATCATGGACATTGAAGAGTTTTAATTGTCCATCGATTTTCGATTAGTGTTGTAATTTTAATACGTCAATGTCATTAGGTCAATTTATTAAAATCAGACCGAATATGCCAAAAAATACGACAAGATGAAATACATTTAAATTGAAATTTTTACCGTGCTTTCATTTATCTGTTGTAGAAAAAAAATTATGCAATTAAATTGTTCTAAAAATATAACATTATCAATGTCAAAAAAAAAATCATTCATCAAAATTGTATTTTTTTTTTTTATTACCACGAGCATTCAAAGTCAATTTTATGTGTTGATTGACTATGATACAGTCATCATCTAACTCTACAAACATTTACTTCTGAACTTGGGATTTTAGGTAATCTAAAGTTTGAAAGTTATTTTTTTTATTAAAAAAAACATCCACATCCCATATGCTTTAAGTTATTGACAAGTTAGGTGGGTCGAAAAATACAAAATCGAGCCAAATTTTAAAGTATTATTTTAAGTAAAATGTATAGAGAATTTAAAAGGCTATCTTATTTTAAATTGTAATGACTAATTGTGGTCGTCATTGGATTTTTGTAGTTAGCTTCTTTTAAAATGCAATTATAAATAATTTGGTTTGATTTTTTTTTCGTTTTCATTAATGGTAGTGATGTCCGATAAATTTACCAAAGGACAGGAACAATAAAGTATTATTGACACAAATTTTATTTTAACCTATATGAAATCATTCATCTACCATCTTCCAGTAGTTTGTTATAGGGTGGATGTAATATGAAAAGTTTAAGGTAATAACTTAATAAATGTTAATTATAATGTTTTTTTTTTTAACAACAAGAGATTGTAAATCCAAACTTACACTGTTTTATAATATTATTAACCTGTTTTATAAACACAAATGGTCATATGTATTCTCAAAAGAAAAGATATGTAATGAGTTTTACCTTTGTGATTTATTTCGTCCCTCGTCGTAATAATCATTATTTATTATAACATTAGTAACCTTCTCATATATTCTCACAAAATTATATATATACATGTCAAACCGAACATAGTTCCGGTACCTGTCTCTGATCAACAGGTCATGAGTTCGAACTCCCACCCCCACATATTGTATCAAATATATATATATACATAATTGCTTTTACATCTGTGAAACTTAAATATATTTAACCATCGCAATAATACAAATAGTCACACGAATAAAAAAAATGTTCAAACACAAACATGTAAAAATCTAACTTATCTCCCGTAAAAAAATGTTGAAACACAAACATGTAAATATCATGGGTTATTATCTTCACCTACATTTTTACATAAATTATAGCATTGAAAGACACAGAGGATATTTATGTAGAGAAAGATGACGAAACCTCGATGAAGGGTAGTTTTGGGTTGTTCAAGTCTTTATGCAAGTCAGTAATGGACTTTGGTGAGGTTTCCTTGGCAGAATTTAGATTCTACTTTCACTTAAAACCATCAGACTCTCCTTTATACAAAGGATCTCCTTGGACTTTCCCCCACGTTTTTCTGAAGTTTTAATCTGTTTGATCAATCTGGTGTAATTATGAGTTCCTTTCCTCCCTTCTTTCCAGTGGGTTCCTCCAATGGCACACTGAATGAGACCTATCACGCCAATGTTCTTGCTAGCTTTAGCCAACAGCTTATTTTTGGCAAAAGTACGTAAGGTCCAATCCCATTGGTTTGTTGTAATCAATATCCCAATGGAGCACATCACCGAAACGTCCTCATCTCCATTGAACATTAAATCGAATGATTGATTTACGAGATTGGAATTCTGGCGGGATATATTCATCTCATTTACTTACATCTGTGATTAGGTGTATCGTGACGTAACCTCGACCAGTCATGTTACTTTGACTAGCAAGAACGAAAATATTGTCCTCGATAGAAATAGCCCTCGAAAAAGGAAGCAAAACGAACATTCGTAGATATATCATAGATGCAGAGTACTTCAAATCCGTCATTTCTGTCGCCAATTTGGTAGACTAGTTACGTTTTTCCAAGCCCAAAAATACTCTTTTTGCTTCAACTTTGCCTTTGCCTCTACCTCCAATCTCTTGTTTCTTATTTATTTCAGTTTTTTCTGGTTCTTAATTCAATGGCTCATGCCTGGGAAGCTCTGACTTTCTCTCATTTTGCCTCACCATGGTTAATGTAACAAAATTGAGGTTTGTTGGTGAGATTTTTAACCTGCAAAAGTATTGAAAATAGAAAAAATTGTGGTGTTCTTTTTTTTTTTTGAAAACCTTAAAACAAAATATCCAACATATTCATAAAGATTATGGTAGTACTTATTTAATATTTGGAATATTAGAACTATAACATTAAAATTGCTCTAAAATACATGATAAAAAATAATAATAATAGTAATTTGTTTCTTATTTATTTTATTTAGCCATGGCTCATATTTTAGGGAGTGAGCCTGTGGCTAAAGTTTGAGTAGAAGGCATGAGCCAACATTTTGCCCAATTTTACTTCAGATTTGACGTTGAGATGACCTTTATCTTCATTAAGGCCTTCTTCAAAGTTGCCCACTGCTTCCGAGCCATCCACCATTCTTACATTTGATAGCTTCTCTGTGACTGTTTCTTGAGCTTTCCATACATCTTCTTTGAAGTTGATAATTGGACTTGTGAAAATGTCATGAGTTACTATCTTCACCTGCATGTGTTACACACAAATTTTAGCATTACAGTACAAAATAAAGACGTTTATAGATATGAAGATGACGAACCAAGATGATGGGTAGTTCTAGATTGTTCGAGTCTGTGCGTAAGTCGGTGAAGAACTTGGTGAGTTCTGTTTCATAGGACTTAGACTCTTCTTCCACTGAAGCATCCGACTCTCCTTGATACCAGAGAAATCCTTGGACTTTTCCCCCATGTTTCTCCGAAGCTTTAATTCGATCAATCAATTTAGTATAATAAGCCGTCCCTTTAATCCATTCTCTCAGGTGAGTTCCTCCAATAGCACACGGAACGAGACCAATCACACCAATGCTCTTGCCAACTTGGACAGAAAGTTCGTTGGCAAAAGCCATACCAGGTCCAATGCCATTGGTTTTATGGTAATCAATATCCCAATGGAGCGGTTCACTAGCTTGTTCCCATCTCAAATCAGCAGTCAATCGAAGGATTGACTCGTTGGATTGAGACTCTGGCGGAATATATCCATCCCATATATTCTTTTCCGTGATTGGGTCCTTGGAGACGCCACCTCGACCAGCCATGTTACTCTGGCCAGCAAGAATGAAAATGTTGCCAGGAGAAGTAGACGTTGAACCAGGAATCACATCAGCCATTTTTCTTGCCAATTTGTATGCACACAACTAATTTTTCCTATCCCACAAATGCGCTTTTGCTTCGTCTTTCTCTTTGCCTCTTCGTTATGATGATATCTTGTTTCTTTACATATACACACATATATATAGTCGTTTTTGGGGGTGATTATTTAGTATTTTGGGAGGTTTGTAGAGATAGAATAAAGTTGTTTCGATTCAATGGCTTATGGTGGGAGGTTACAACTCCAAGTTGTCTCCTAGGTTATTGTAACACCCAAGCTTCCATTTATGGGATTTTGTACCTACAAACGTATGCAACAAATAGCAAAAGGTGTTTTTTTTTTCACTTGTGGTATTAATTCTTTTTCATAGACGGTAATTTCTAATTTTGAAATTGTGGAATTTTGATCCACGTACAATCATATAACAAAAGCAGAAATGGAGGGTGAGTTTTAACTTGTAAGAGACACATTCAAGATTAGTCACTCAGGTCGTTCATTTTTATTTATTTAATTTTTATTGATTTAAATCTACCCGCTTTAAATTATTTTTATCTTTTAACCGTTTTAGTACAGCATGTGAAGATGGGAGATCCAACTCACAACTTTTTTATTGGAGATATATGTCAATTACCGTTGAGTTATGTTCGCTATGACTTTTCTTTTAACCGGAATACTTTGAGGTCCTAAATATTTTAAATGAGGAACAGTTATGTTTTATTTTTTATTATTATTTTTAAATTTTGTGAAAAATGCATCCTTTACCATTCTAACAAAATCAATTTTTTTAACCTATACCAAATCGTGTTTGAAAGTGAGGGTAAAATTAGTGGTTTTAAAAAAGAGATTTAAGTATAATCGGTTTTTCAAAATCACCCTACAAGTAATATCTTCAAAATCAATTTAAAGTGATTTTAAGTTTTTCTAAAATCAATTTCTTATATTGTCAAACATGATAAATGGGAAGGGAAGTGATTTTAACAGTGGAAAAGGTGATTTTAACTATGCCAAAATCATTCATGAACACACCCTTGATAAAATAAGCGGTGCATGTTAAGACAGCTCATTCAAAATGTTTTCAGCTGGTTGACACATAGCGTTAGTTTGGTGACTCAGATAATTTTAGTTTAACAATAGCTTTGTAATTATTGGTTTTTGGAGAATCATTACAGAGAAATTGTTCGCAGGAGTTTTTTTAGCTTTCTTGAGAAATATATAAGCCTCTCTGTATTGATCATTTCATTTTTAATGAGGAGGTAGAAGAAAGCTTTTCTCCTGTAATCCATGTTCATTTTATAATTTGTCTGTGCACCTTACAAAATTAATCTATTTTCTATGAAAACATAGTTTACCTAATTTAATTTAATAATGTATTTTTCGGATAAGTGGTAAACCCCACAAAATCAATCTCTTTAAAAAAAGTTTTAATATTTTCTAAAAGTTAATACGTTAAATTAAATATTATTATTAATAGAAATATGAGGGTATAAGAGTTCGTAAATAATGTAATTTTAAGAAGAGCAACATTTACCTTATTTGATTGTTCTTGTAATAATAAAAACTATTTTAAGATTTTAAGATTTATTTTAAATATTTTGTAGGTTTTAAGTCTTCTCAACCTCAAAGTTAAATATTTTTCTAATAATAATAATAATAATAATAATAATTACAATTAACATTTTAGATTTTGTATATTTTGAAATTTTATTATTATTATTAATATTTTAAGAAATTGATTTTGTAGATCGACGACTTATCTAAAGAATACATTATTAAATGAAATTTAGTAAGCTACACTTTGATAAATAAAAAAATTAAGTTTGTGGGATCACAAGTTATTTGAAAGATAGATTATCAAATTAAATTTAATATATTATATTTTAAGAATCTTGATTTTATTAGATTTTTAAGGAATGCTTTTTGGTGAAATTTAAAAGTAATAATAATAAAACATAAAACATAACATTCTTCATTTAAATGTTTTAGGATCTCAACACGTTTAAGTTAAAAAAAAAATAATGATAATAATAATAACCAATTTAAAAACGGTGGACTTAAGTTTAAACTTTATAAAAATTATTTTGTTAAATTTGGAAACGCGTGAGATATATTTAAAGTTAATTTAAAAAAAAGGTAAGATAGATTGGAGTGAAAGTGGCACAGGACCTTCGATCGACCATGGGGGAGTAAGATTTTTCTGTTTCATCCGAACCCACCGAAGCATCCAAACCATAAGCCCCACCTCACATAGAAGAAGGGGAACCCCTTCAATAGAATGGAAGAACCCGTGTGGGTATGCCACCAGCATAAATGAGGCACACAAGAGACACCGGCGCGATCTCGATTTAATGCCAACCTGGAAGTGATTCTTCCATCTCTGCCTCGCTCGTTGTCACCTATGTTGAAGAAAGGTTTGTAAAATATATATATATATATATATAATGGGCCCGCTCCTGCCGTTGAAAAGGTCTGGAATTTTATTAAATAATTAGAAAAGTACTTTTTTTTCCTCAACCTTTTTTTTTAAATACCCTTCTCTCAAAAATTCCAAAGCAAGCCAGTAACCTAAATATTTTCAAAAAAGAATTTTAGGGACATATTTTTGTCAGCTTTGCCATATGAAAGGATAAAAAGCTTTTTTCCACTCCACAACTTTTTTTAGTTCAACAAAATAAATGAGAGAGTTCGAGTTTCTAACTTCCAGAGAAATATATTAGAATTATCTTGACCATTCGAGTTATGTTTATATCGATCAGTAATAAAACATACATATATATATGAATGACAATTTTTGAGATATATAATAGCATTGAAATGATATAGTTAAAAAGTAATTGAATTTTTACATCAACTCACTAGGKGATCAAAAGAAGATAATTAGTTGCAGCAAATCTACTCTTAACCCAAATGAAGTGAAGATTTTATGCTCTTAGATGCTTTTCCTTTTGGGGAGATGGGGAGAACAATTGCCCCTTTTTCTGGAAAAAAAAAAAAATTGGCCCTGTTTTTGTTTTGAAACTATTTGAATTCACTCATTTTCGGCTTGATTATTACATATTCTCGAAAGTTATCAATAGAATGACTATAATAATGTGAAATTCTATTCTATAGATAAGTGATCCAATAAGTACATATGCTCGTATCTGTAATATAACTTTATTTTATATATATATATTTAAAGAAAAAGTTTAATTGAATACCAAAATGAGTTTAGTTCAATGATAATTGACATCTAAATCATATACTTGAATTATATGATTGGTAACAATATACACATTAAAAATTAATAGTATATATATATAACCAAAATGTTGTGTGATAGTATATATATATAACCAAGAGGTTGCAGGTTCGAATCACACATATATATAAAATAAAATAAAATAAAAATATTTATGGGAGAAAATGATGGTTTTTTTAAGCTCTTAACGTGCCACTAAATATTTCAAAAATTTTCTTTATGCCTTGGGAGAGAGAGAAAATAGAATAGTCTTACCCTTGGAAAGATGGATGTTATAATGTCTAATGTTGTTAATATTATTATAATATCTCTCTAATTTTATATTTTAATTATCATCTCACTAAACCCATCAATAATAACTCCTTTAATCAATACGCATGTGTAAGTTACCTTATGTTACTTTCTTTTTCTCTCTTCATTGAAGTGATTTTAATAAATTATTTATTGTTTCGTATAATCACACTTATAAATATCTGTGTTTTTAAGAAAGCACAAGTAAATTCGAAGGGAACCAAAAAAAAAAAATACTTTCAACTAAGCAATGACAAGCAGAATTAAAAAGATTGCACCAGTACTAGGGGTGGTTCTTCTTTTGGTACTAAATTTTTCGGTCTTAGGTCAATCTTCAATAGTAGATGACGACAACTACATGTCACCCATATGGAATGGATGGATAGACGAAGATAGAGGGATAAATCTAAGACGGTGTATAGTTAAAGTGAAGAGTGAAGAATGTCAAGTGGAAATTTATAAATATTATTTCAATATAAGCAAGAAGGAACTGGATCTAAGTTGCTGTGTATTTGTTAAAATAATGGGCGAAGGATGCGCTCTAGATTTTGCAGGTTGGTTCGATTTTCCTGAATTCGAAGTCTTCAAGCCGAATCCTATGAAGCTTTACAAAAATTGTGATATAAGACTTGCTGTTTCTCCATCCAAACCACTTTAAATCTTAAATTTAATGTTTATGTATTTGATGAATAAAAATAACATATTTATTTATGTTAAATGTGCGGATAAATCCATCCATTTTTATTCTCTTTTTTATCTTTAATCAAAATTCCCGTCATGATTCTCCATAATGGCTTGTTTCATTTTACATTCTCCCTTTCCTCTTTTTCATCAACACCATTTGCTAGCCATTTTTTTTTCTTTTTTTATTCTTTTATTAATTCTAAGGGAAGGAAGGAACGATACGGAACCTTCTCTTATTTTCTTGTTGAATTTAATAATGGCAAAGTGAAAGATTGAAYTATCAACTTTTAGAATAATATAACAAAAGGAAAAACGAATTCTCTTGTCTTCTCTCTAGTATTATATCTTATCATAAAAGAAGTCACATGGTTTTGTGAATAATATTTTTTTTTCTATTCACCTTGTTTATAAATTTTTGTTAGATTGGTAAAGAGTGCAAATAAARTCTCTTAAGGAAGCTGGTGATTCATGCTATATAGATGTGAACAATTATCTCAATTGATCAATAATAATAATAATTACTTTTTGATCCGTTAAAAATTTGAAGCTATTTATAATTCTTCTGATTTTGAGTAAACTATTTCTCATAAAAAAAATTAATAATACCTACAAAATTATAGATAATTCTACCAAAAATTTTGGTAGATAGAGTAATTATATTTTGAACAAAATAATTTCTCTCCAAAAACTTCTAACATAATACAAATAATTTAGTTTTCATTTCATAAAGTCAATCTGATGTGTATAACCCAATTATTTAAGATATTATAATCCTCACTAAAAGGTTAGATAATTAAATTCTCACCACCACATATTAAAGGAAATTATTGTTAACCTAAGCTTAGTTTGGTTAAAATATCCCTCTTCAATCAATTATT